CCTCACCCCACTTTCAGCTTACTCCTCTCTGCTGCCAGGCCCACCCTTCTCCACTGGCCTGAAGAGCAAACAGCGGGTTGCCCTGTGAATGATTGAAATTTCTTTTCTGAGGTTGCCCATTTCCTACAAAAGCCCCTGGAGGCTGGAGGCTGGAGGCTCGTGCCTTACTCCCTCTTCCTGCTCCCAATCATGGGTATTATCTGAGGGCCTTCCCAGCTGCCCTGCAGGAAGAACATCACCAGTTCCTTCCCTCCCTGGACTAGGGAGGGAGAAAGTCTTAAGAAACGGGAAATGTTTACAAAATAAGCAGCAACAGAAGGCTTTCCGCCTGGGCTGGCCAGTGCCAAGCCTTCCTGTGGATCTGCGGAGGGAGAGCCCTCTGGATGTGCTCATAGAAATCGCACCCTTTTTTCCACACTGCAGCTTTTCCTGGTCATAACTCACCGTTCTGTCTCGTTTCACTCTCTTACGTCCCAGCCTGCTGACCTGGATGCCTGACCAAGGCCCAGGCGGTTTGGTGACCTGCTGTCCTGAATGTTCTTAGTGTCTGTACATGGACTTGGCACCTACCAGTCCCTGCCTTGGACAGTTACCTGTTCCTGAGCGGTTTGTCTTTCCAACTAGATTTGAAGCTGGGACTCAGGGATCCTATCTCATGGTTTTCTAGTTATTTCCAACAAAGATAAACTCAACATATTTTAATCATTCATTCAAAATATTCAATGAGCCCCTACTAAGTGCCAGCCACTGCGCTCAGCCTTCTAGAGCATATGTTCTAGAGGAGGAGACGTGCTAACACATTACATTCATAACACGTAACATCTAATTTCACTGGAGGAAAGCTGGGAGGATGTGAGCCTGTCGGCCAGGCAGAGGCGCACAGAGTGGAGGTTCCGCAGCCATTTGTGGAGTGAGTTAAGTTTGATGTGTGTGACTGGAGATGTGTTCTACACCAGGTGAGCAGAAATCATGTGGATTGAAGATGAACTGATTGTTCATGAACAGTTTTTTGCATACTGGTGCGTACGGGAGAAATGAAGCAGCTGTTTGTGCTGGAAGACCGACCGAGGCTGGGAGGAAGACGAACATGCGCCTGTTTCTGGCTCTGCTCTGCTGAGATCAAGCTTTGCTTGCCTCCTTCCTCAGCCCTTCCTTTCTTGTTCCTGTAAATGGTCTTTCTTTGAGTATCCTGTTCCTGCCACTTTGAGTGAGGTTTCTTATGTTTTCCCACTTGCAAGCTCTGTCGCTTTATAAGCAGAGAAGGGTCCTGTTGACACCCTTGCAAATGCTCGCTAAGGCACCCCTCCTGACCGGAGCAGTGGGCCCTGCTGGGCAGCCAGACTCTGCGAAGCTGATCACCAGAGAAGGCGGCACAGTCCCAAGGCAGCTCCACTTTGAGGAGCACCCAACAGAGAAATTACCTACTTTCAGGCTTCCAACATCTCAACTCCAATAAAGATCTTATTTTCCATTATTAAGGAATTACAGAAAGAAAAAACAGCTGAATGGGCTCTTGATTTGTGGCTATTTGTAGGGTCAGGAAGCCTTTCAAAGCCATGTCTGGGCAGGTAGCAGGTGGGCCCTCTGCTGGTCACCATGGGTGGCGCTTTGTCACCACACAGCCAAGGCGTCTCTGCAGCCCTGGTGCCTGCACCGAGGCCAGGTCAGCAGGCACCTTGTCTTTCTCCTGCTGGGGCAGGAAGTCAGGCACCAGCACGTACCTACACCGAGGGAAGGAAGAAAATGGAAACGAGTTCACAGTTGCAAGCTCTTCCTCTAGCTGTGAGGCATAACTATTTTAAGGGTCAGGTTGAATATAGAAACCTGTGAATGTTAAAATATACATAAAATATTGTACTTCTGGTACTTTAGACTCCAGATTAGCTGACTGTTTTGCTCACTTGGTTTGTTTCAGAGTGTCCTTTCTAGGACATAAGAATGCCCAGTGCAGTAAATACAGTATTGTATGTTTCTTCCTTTATTTACCTATAACATTCCTAAGGGTTTGTGAAGTTTGTTTTGCATAGAATAGGCCTGGGCAGATGCCCCATGTGTGTGTACCTTTTCAAGTGAAATGAGCTTTGGCGTATGTGCTCTAAGCAGCCCAGGAGAGCGCCCCAGCCCAGCCCCAGGACTGTGCAGCTAGCTGAGCTGTAACCCAGCTGAAGCCGTTAGGGCGCTAATGAAGTGACACCCGCTGCTCCTGCCACCGGGAGGAGGGTGTGATGGGGCTCACACGATTTTTATTCCAGTTTGTGCATGTTGCATGCCAGATGGCAGGGTATTGATTTTCCTTTTTCTCCGAGATGTCTTCGGGTAACTGCAGTCAGGAGCCAGGCTTTGTTCTGAGACAGAGAATAGAGTGTCTCTCAAGTTGGTGTTTAAAAGGAGTGAAAGTGACATCTGCATGGAGGCTGAGCACGCTCTACATGGCTGCCACCCCGCACGTGGCAGCGCTCCTCTGAGACATAAAATGTGAGAAGAGTAGCTTCCTATTAGATGCTTTGCTGGCCATGAAAACCCGTTGTTTCTGAGGATCTGAGATGGGGATGTACCTACTGTCTGAAACTTCTTGATCAACAACTGAATGTCAGAAAAATGTGTTCACATTAAATGTGTACCATATGCACAGGGTGGGAGTGTGGGCCTCCCCACATATCTCCTGAACAGGCTGTTGTCTCTGCCTCTGGCTTCCTGTCTCAGAGCTGCTGCCCTTTGGGGACCCTCTGTCCCCTAACTTGTGATGGGCTAGACCTTGTCCTTAAGACCTCAGCCCAAGGGCCACTTTCTCCCAGAGGCCCCCAAGCACCTGCAGTGTCGACCACCACACTGCACTTCTCATTGTTACATGTGGTTTATTTCCTCCCTTGCATTGCCACACACAGTAATTACATGTTACCTGTTTACTGTCTTACTGTTTGCTGCTCTGCCAGCCGAGCAAACCTGAGCCTCACAGGGCACGAGCTTCACACACGAGCTTTTGTCTTCTCACAGCTCCGCTCTCATTCTGGAAATGTGCCTGAAACATGAGAGTGCAACAAATATTTGTTTAATGGCGAGTTAATGGATGAATAAATATTTGTTTAGCAATGAATTAAGGGGTGAATGAATTTTCCTTTTAATGATGAGTCAATGAAGGGAGGAAGATAACCAGAGACCAAGTCAGTAATCTGGGAGAGAAACACAGATGTATTCCAGAAAGTAGAGTAAAAAGAGAAAGAGTTGAAAAATATTAGGGAAAGCTAATTGAAATAATGGACCGAGCCATGAGGCTCAGCCTTATCTAACAGGCGTTCCAGAGGAAAAATGGTACAGAAATGAAAAGAAGAAATTTACAGAAAATGCTGTGCACAGGGGTAGCACCAATTCTGAGGGCCACAAGCACCATGAAGGAGGAATGAAGGAAACAAACCCCTTGCCCAGAAAGAAATATTCTGGTAAAATGTTAGAACCTGAAGCCTTCCCAAGAGGGACAGAGCAGTTCAGCTCACTTGACTTAGGAAGGAACGAGACAGCATGGTTGCCTTCCAGCTTCCCAACAGCAGGGAGGGAATGGAGCTCTCACGTATTTGAGGAGAAATGATTATGTGTCTAAATGTAGACCAACTGACGTTCAAACATGGGAATTAGGGCTTTGGCGTCTGGCCATGCCAGAGTAGTGGGACTTGGATCCCTCTCTCACCGTAAACAACCGGAGAGCTGCACTGTATGAATGAACCATTTCAGACCTGAGGTAACTCACAGCTTAGCTTCATGACCCCCAAATAAGGGAACATATGAGGTGAACCATAGTGTCCAGCTTTTGTCCTAAGGTGTGTCGGTGACATGGGGCAGGGAGGTGTCCCAAGCAGAGCTTGGAGGTGGGTTAGGGGGTCTGAGGCCGCTGTGGACAGGTTCTGGAAAGAAAGGGACTTCACAGTGCTCCACAGGCCAGTGTGGCTGTACCAGGTGAAGAGTCCCAGGGTCAGGCAGAGCATGAGGTGAGGGGGTTCCCTTCATGAGGCTGGGACTTATTTGAATCCCCATCAGCCCGGTGGAGAGCCCTGTTATCACTTGGGACACTCAGCACAGATTCCAGGAGGGCCACACCTGTGTAGTGGGCCCAGCAGTTATTGTCTAAGCTGCTGGCCCCTCCCAGACAAAGCTTCAAACCAAAATTGCCATGATCAGCCATGATCAGCAAGAGTCTCTTATCCGCCGACCAGTGCAAGGCCCAGTAGCTGTGTTCTTTACAGACGACAGCAGAATCAGGACACCAGCAACATCCAACATCTGCTCTGACATGCCAAAGCAGGAGCAGGTGACCTGCCACTTGGGAAGGAACAGTTGACAGCAACAGACCTGGGCATGACAGATAAGATGGGATTAGTGACCAAGATGTGCAGGGAGCTAGTGTAACTAACTGTGTTCCAGAATTTAAACAAAGCCCCGAGCCAGGACAGTTGGCCCTAGACCTGCAGGTGGGGTCAGGCATGAGTGTAGCTTGAGACTGGGGAGCCTTCTGCTGCCACGAGGCACATGTGACATGGAGTTTAGGCACAGATGGTACCGGGAAGCCTTCTCGATGGCTAGGGCCTCAGTTTTCGTACTTCTAACATGTACTGAACAACAGTACAGCTTTGTAAGGTTATTGGAGAGGTTAGTACATGAGTCGAATACAGCTCTTAAATAGCACTGACTCCTAGGAAGTGAAGGCAGTGACATCGCTCGTGGAAACTCACCAGAAACACTTTCTCTCCACCCAGGTTCCTTCACCTCGAATGTAGCACGCACTTTCTCCCACCCCCCTAAGTGTGTTCTAGTTGCTAATCAGAGTGTCCATCACTGTTTATTGGATGGGAGCTTCTGGGCAGTTGGCCACCAACACCAAGCCAGAACTCATGGCTCCTGGCTGGAGCTGTTGAGACAGCTGCTCTCTTGGACCCCAGAGCAGCCATGAGAGGCATCCTGTGGGCCCTTCATCTCCCGCTCCTGACCACCCTTCCCACTTCTCTCCTCAGCATCCTTGAGTGCCAAGGCCTCCCCATCGTGAATGGGCAGTGCGACCCGTATGCCACTGTGACACTAGCAGGACCATACAGGCAAGTAGCTGTCACCTGCACCTGCCCACAGCCTTCGGGCTCAGAGGGTGGGTCATAGTCATTTGGAAGAATGGTGGGTATTCTTCAGTCAGAGGAAGACAGGATGGGCTGAAGGTAGAATGTATATTCTTACCTCCTTTTGTTTTCTATACTGCCCTAAAATGGTTTTGTAAAAAAAGGAAGACTTTATGTTCTTCGTGCTGAGTATTTTTGGCTCAGTAAAGGTTCCTAATTTGCATACCATCTGGGGTTGGAGACAAACAGAAATATTTATAAGATAAATAAAGGCAGCAAATTACTTGTGCATTTGATAGCTCAGTCTTAAGGCTGAGAGATTTGGCATCAAAAGTGTTATTTCTGATCCTGGCCCTTCCTCCCGTGATTACAGATCGGAAGCAAAGAAGACGAAAGTAAAAAAGAAGACCAACAACCCTCAGTTTGACGAAGTGTTTTATTTTGAGGTTGGTATTTCAGTGGTTTCAATGTTAAGTTGAAACCCTACAACCAAGATCCTTTGGCAAAAAGTCTAGATCTGAAGGATCTCAGTCACTTGCTTCCTTCCGAGAGTTCTCTGGGTGATCGACCCCCCCACCGAAGATTTCCCCTCCTGCTCTGCAGCCTCTCCTCCCTAGAAAGAAAGGCTGCCTGTTGCTTCCAGAATGACTCAGTTTTGAGTTGCATATTGACCAATTCATACTTTCCAAATTATCAGGACTTTGGGTTTTTTTGTTTGTTTGGTTTGGGTTTTTTGTTTTTTGGCCTGTTCCACCCAATCTCGCCTGAGCACTGAAGGGAGGCTTGTTTCACCAGAAATAGTGAGGGTTTTGAAGCAAAGAGGAAGTGCATTTGGACACAGAGATCCCCCTGGCTGCCTCTCAGAATGTGAACCGCCAAGATTAGTAAAATACGGGGCCTGAGGGCTGAAGACTGGACCAGAACGACAAGCAGACATGGCTGGTTCTGTTATAAGACGGCACTTATGGAATGTATAGGGCAGGCGTTCTTTCCGTCCATAGAGGTTTCTTGAATGCTTACTGTGCACCAGGTCATGGGTAGGTAGGGATGACTAAGGCCTTCACTCCTCTCTTCCTAAGCCTGCTGCCTAGCAGGAGAGAGCACCTGTGGACAGATTGTCCCACTTGGTCCAGTGACTGTTAAGTCGGTGGCTTCAGGGGACAGAAAGCAGATGAACTAGCAGTGCTGCCCGGGAAGTGGGGCGAAGCTCCCAGAGTGGAGACATCTGAGCAGTCTGGGAGGGACATGCGCATGTGTGGAGCATTGGGAGGCTGCAGGAAACTCTGTTTCTAGAGTGTAGAGTGAGGTTGGGGTGAAAATGAAGAATTTTAGAAAACAAAGTTGGAGAGGTGAGTTAGAACCAAGGGGCTCATGGGCAGAGAGCCTCCTTTTCTGGCTGGTATCTAGAAGCTCACACGTTTCTTACGTGAAGGCCAATGGCCAGCCTTGTTGGGGTGGCTTTGAGGAGGGCTGTGGAGGCAGATCCTGAGGGTGAAGACAAAGAGCCCTTCTCTGTCCCAGATGGACGTTCAGGTGAAGAAAATGGTTTTTAAGAGACTCAAGGTAAGTCAGGAGGCCAATGTGGTCACCCTAATCTCAAGAGAGACTCATGCTGTGTCTCCAAAGGCAGGGATGAAGTCTGGAACAGAAAGTATAGAAAAGTCTTTAATGCAAATATGCCTTAAAAGTGGCACTAGCCTTCCGTGTCTAGGCTGCCTCTATTGGCTTAGACCAGCGCTTTCCAAACTTTTACTACAACACACAGTAAGGCATAGACTTCATCTAGTGACACACTCGCTCCAACAGCTACATCCACTTCTGCACAGCTTTCACTCACAGGAGTGCTGTATGTTTGCTGTCATATATGTCTAAAATTGTGGGTCTCAATGCACTAGATTAACTTAACACCCCCCCAGATATGATTGAACGTAGTGGTCAGGACTGAAGCCTGTGGGATCCCAGGGACAGCCTTGACCTGGGCTCTCAGTGCTGTTGGTTTGGGCCCGTCTGATGCTGGCCTTGCTTGCGGCCTCAGACCAGAGGACCTTTGGAATATGCTTTTGTTTGGAGTTTATGTCCTTTGACTCAAAGGGCTCAGCCCTGCTTAGCAGCACACTCCCTCTTGTCAGGTTCTCCTGTCTCCTTTCAGCCTCAGCTGGAAACAGCCCCTGACAGGGAGATCCTGCGGTCTGGCGGTGGTGAGCTTGGGGCTGGCACACAGCTTCCTACAGGAGTTTGAAAAGGAGGTAGCCTCCAGGCCATTTTATTCCATGATAAAAGCCAGACTTATCTAAGAACCCTTAAATACCTAAATGAAATTATTTAAAATTCTGTAAGAGTCACTTTCATTCACTCGATAGTTATGTTAGGTGACAGGCAGGGATAAGAGAGAAGAAAACAGACCAGCCTCTGTGGCCATCCCACTGGAAGTCAGACACCTTATCATAGTGCTGTGAGCCATACTAGGCAGGAGGTGCCAGAGGGCTTCCTAGAGGAGGTGCTTCCATTTCAGAGACTCCTGCAGGCTTGGTGCAGAGTAAGGAATGGACTCTGTAGTGAGCTGGGCAGGGAACACGGGTTGTGAAAGACCCCCATGTGCTGGGTGAGGAAGAGAAGTGGGGACCCCTGGGAGGTCTTCAGAAGTTTTAGCCAAAGGCAGATGAGGTCAGGGCCAACGGAGCTGTGGCTGGTGGGAGCGGAGCTTGGGCAGTATAAGGACAGGCTGCCAACAAGTTGGAGGCGAGAGGTGGGAAAGCTGGGGAGGAGCAGGCTGGAGACACAAGGGAGTGGAGGTC